GAATTGAATTGAATTATTATTATTGTAATGCTGACACAACCGGCATTGTAAGTAAAGTAAAAGACTTTATGTCTGAGGTTGTTATAGTCCTGGAAGGATCTTCTTAACTTAACCTATGCTGTTCAGTTCGTCCCCCTCAGGATCTTAAATTCTATTACTATGGGGCTGATGGCCGGATTTTAATTTGGGGGTGAGGGAGGCAGAGCGTATTGAAGTTAAAAAATGAAATGTATGGCCAGCTGGACTATGTGCACGCGTTGTTACAGTAGTGCAATGCACCACCAATAGAAGTTAATGGAAAATGAAGAAATGTTCTCAGACATACAGTGTGCAGTGTCTGGTTGTTATACTTCCATAATATTCAGTGAAACCATGCCTTGTTATTTTTCCTTTCCTGTTTTCAGTTGAAAAATCTTGGCTGCTACGACTCTAATTATCATCACTACACCACATAATTATTTGTTATTGCTCTTTAAATCATAGATAAAATATGTATTAAATGGAAAGGAAATAATTCCCTTATTTAGAAATATGGTTTGTGTATCTATATGCAGCAGTGTTTCCCAGACAGTTTGTAGAATTCGTTTGTTTCCAGATTTTACTGCTAGAACCAAAACCAAAATAGAACAGATTTGGTAAAAGCTATCCCTGTAACAGGCCATGGAGACCCATTGGGTTGTGAGACATCAAGGCTCCCACATTTTAAGATAATTGCCTAACAAATGGCAGTGAGATTGTCAGCCTTATGTGCCGGCTGCCCTTTACCCCGAGGAAGATTTCTGGTATTCATTTCTGTTAGAGGCTGAGTTGACCCCAGGGCCATAGTGCAGCTGGAAGTATTAGGTCAATTGAAAATACTCACCACCATCTATGAGCTGACTCTAAAAAAATGTGGAAGCATTGATGTCTCACAACCCTGTGGGCCTCCATGGCCTATTACTGAACAGATTTGTTACAATTCAGAAATGAGAAAGACAATGGAATTCACAATTAAAGGGTTTTCTATTGTATAATTGGATTACCAAAGAAAGTTTGTATTTTTCATACCATAAATTCACAAAATAATGCTTGAGTTCATGGCTCCTGTTCAACATAAAATATGCTAGTATTCTGTTATTTGTAAGATTTGAGGCTTTCACGGCAGTGACTATGAAGAAAGCAGTCTTCTGGGATTTGGCACCGTGTATATGTGGTGTTAACTGACGTTTCAGAGGAAAGCAGACAGTCTGCTGTTACCGGTTCTCACGGTCTCTTCGCTTGCAGATTTCTTATATTTTTTCTTCTACCCTGAAGATGGAGGCGATACGTTCCTCCGAAACGTCGGTTAACACCACATATATACGGTGCCAAATCCCAGAAGACTGCTTTATTCATTCTGTTATTTGTTGTAAAAAAGGCTTCAGAAATAGGAGTATGTGTGCTCACTTGTCACGGGCAGGTCACCCAAGGTAGGTGTGGTGAGTATAGAAGTATTTGTGTGAAGAGTGGGCCGCGCCAGAGCTCAAGTGGGTAGTCGCTGGCTTCCCACTGCGGTGGCCCGGGTTCGATCCCGGGTCTGGTCAAGTGGGATTTGTGGTGGACAGCATGGCGCTGGGTTGGGTTTTCTCCGAGTACTTCGGTTTCCCCTGCCAATCTTCATTCCACCAAATTCTACATCATCATAATCACCCAGGGCAGGCTACAATAGGCCAATCAGTGGGTGCCGTACTGAGTGGACCCAGTTGGACTCCACCCCCACTAAGTGAAATTAAAAAAAATTGTGAAGAATGTTCCAAATGAGTGGATTTTGTTAATTGGTAAAGATATATAAGTTACATTCCTAGATCCCTATGTAAGAATTGATGTAGCACATATATGAAGTGTGCTGTTGTAGTAACAAAAATCTTCATGAATTCACTTATGTGTGCTAATTTTGTTTTCAGGTAATGCAATTTTGACATTAAAGTCAAAAGACCCTGTGAAAGTAGTTACTGTCCGTGGAACAAGCTTTGAGCCAGCAGCACTGGAAGGGGGCAATACCAATACTGAAACAGCACCAGCTGGAGACTATAAAACAGGGTTATCTCAATTTTTGAGCCAAGAGCTAAGTAAAAGTGACCGACCAGAGCTCACCAGTGCCAAAGTTGTTATCAGTGGAGGTGAGTAGCCTCCATAGTGGTGTAAATTTGTGCATGGGTTGTTTTCATCATTCTGTTGCAAAGAAAGGCAGGGTACTATATTGGGAGTAAAGTAAGTAAAAATAAAGCTATCCCTGTACCAGGCCCTGAAGGCCCATAGGGTTGTGAGACGTTGAGGGTCCCACATTATCTAGGCAGTCAGCTCAAAGATGGTGGTAAGGTTGCCAGCCTTACGCGCTGGCCGCGCTTTTCCTCCCCAGAAAAGTTATTTAATTAATTCCTGGTACTCATTTCTGTTAGAGGCTGAGTAAACCCCAGGGCCTAGTGCGGCTGGAAGGATTAGGTCAACTGAAAAAAATTCAATGACCTCATCAGGATTTGAACCCGCAACCTTCAGGCTTTTAAAAGTAACATTGTTTACTTTTGGGTTGTGAACGTTGATGGCTTCCACCATGTTTCTAGGGATATGGGATTTGATGTTTACTATGAAGATGTCTGTCTTTCAGGGTGTGACCTTATGCAATCTGGTAAATGTGTGCCATTGTTTCAGAAGAACCTGCTATCTCCACTCTTCTCTTCTGAAAATAAAGGCAAACAAGTTCCTCTGGAATACTTATAAATATCTACCATACCACATGGTTTCACATCCCAGAAAACAGTTATCTTCATGCTGTTATGGATGTTCCTGACATTCAGTACATCCCCAGTTTTTTTTTTTTTGAATGGTGGAAGGCAGGAGAAGCTCGGATAATAAAAAACATGTATCATTAATAAATGTCACATCTTCAAGTAGCAGACTCATTGCATCATAAACTATTAATGTCATGGTCATAATATTGCTATGAAGGAGAGTTCTAAAAGTAGTAGCACCTGTTTTTATTTTGTACCACATATACTTGGTCGTTGACTTACGACCTATGCAACTTATGACCACAAAAAAATGAAAAATAAAAGATTAAAATGTAAAAGTTTTTAAAAATAGATTATGTAGATGATAAANGGGTGTCCTGCATAGCGCCAATACGTCACAATATTTTCATGTATGTACTTACTTATTTATGGAGCTGAGCCCTTCTTGAAAAGCCACCAAATCTGCAGCTACTCGAGAATTTTCCAGCATTTTATGGAACCCGAAGGTTCATTACCGTGTTCACAAGAGCCCTCCACTGGTCCCTATCCTGAGACAGATCTACCCAATCCACACCATCCTATCTCTCTAAGATCCCTTATAATATTGTCCACCCACCTATGCCTTGGTCTTCCCTGTAGTCTCTTTCCTTCTGGCTTTCCCACCAATATCCTATACGTATTCCTCGTCTCCCCCATTTGTGCTACATGACCTGACACCTCGTCCTCCTTGACTTGATCATGTAATTATACTTGGAGAAGAGTACAAAAAAAAAAGATTACAAAGGTTAATTGAATTGAATTGAATTTATTTACATTCTATAAATCCTAAGCAGGTTAGTACCTTTGGATACAGAACAAGTCAAAATGTTACATACATA